TTGTTGATTGTTATTGGCCTCAAGTTTTGTCTCAAATTATAGACAACTTCGCTTGAAAGTTGACTGTATTTATAGAATTCTAGGAGATATATTTTAATAAATTTAGTTAAAATTTTAAAACACTTCATCTAACGATCAATTCATCATCGACTTAAATAAGGAAATTGAAGAATTAAAAGTACATAAAAAGTATGTCAGCACTAATTACGAGGAGATCCAACGACGTAGAAGAATAAGAGTATAACAAGGGAGGGGTCCAATGACAAATAACCATGATGCCCATTTCTTCGGCCAAGTGAAGCTGTCGGAGCCAGAGTCATTAAGGCCAGAGATAACACAACCATGAGAATGACAAAAAGACAACCAAATAATCCTAGTAAACCATTTTAAAAGAACCTATCCAAGGAATTAAAATTTAGTTTCTTAGCATGTCTGAAAATCCCAAAAACATTCAGTGGTCCCTCATCAGTTATCAATGATCAATAGCTAGACTCGATCAGTCGATCAACTCATGCTAACTAAGCTTCGCCAACCGAACTCATTTTGTCAACCGAAAGCCAATTAAGCTCAGTCGACCAAGCCACAGAGCAACCAAACAATAAACTAATATTAATATATATAATATCAGAAAATACCCCGTACGGACCCCTTTAAAATATGATAAAAAATATAACACCATTATATTATGTCGTCACCTCTTAAATAAAAATATCATTTCATGAATAAGACTTGATGTATTACTCCTCATTATTGTTCACTCATCCCCCTCTATCCCCATACCTATGCCTATTCTTTGACTATGATTCACAGATAAATTATTATTCAAAATGCAATTTGTTTAAAATTAATCAACCGAGTCAACGGAAAAAAAAAAAAAAAAATCTTGAATTTAATATATATATATATATATATATATGGATTATGCATGGTTTTTATATAATAAAAACCAAATGGCCTATGAGCCATCCATTAAATATAAATTTTCAAGTGCAAATAATAAAATTAAATCCTGTATATTTATATGAATATGGTACTTATTTAAATATTTATAACTTATTTTGCACGGTGAAAATATAAACTAACATTTTGAACTTTCAAATATAAGTAGGAATTTCATTTAAATACGGTGTAAAAAATTTTTTGATTTTTCTTTTTAAATAAATGGAGTTGCCCAACTGCAGGAGAGTAAATGCGGCGAGCACTAGGGGAGTCCAAATAGCCTACCTCATTTTGGTCGTCTTTTTGTCCCTTATTTATAAATTATAAAAACTTATTTTGTATAGTTACAGAAATGAGAGAACTACTGTGCAAACCGTTCTTAATATAATTAATGCTCTGGTTCATTGTAAGAATTTCATTTTATATTTGTATCACAATTTGAATTTTGATATGACATTAATCACTCGGTTGTTTACCTTTTCAAAAAGTTTTTTTTGTCTTTGATCGTTCGTTCTCTTTGAGATTCGTGCCGATAGCTATAGTGTATACAATTATGGTAATTGCATTAAACTTGAATAATCTTTCATTTTTTCTCTTAACAAATTTATTAATGCTTTAATGATCTTGAAATTTACTTTTCACATCTACACAATTTACAAATTTTCATATTCACATACATGCATTTTGATCCTTTAAAACTATGCAATAAAATATGTATTTAATTGTTAAGTGTGTATATATCAAAATTTAGTTGGGAGATAAGATAAGCCCACTAGAATTATGAGTTACAAATGTAAGCGCCTATGATATAAAAATAAAATATCACAAAAGTCAAATAATTAATTTATATTTGATTTAAATTTTAATAAGCTTAAAAATAGAGGTATCACCTAATACCTAATTATTGTATGTACGGGCCCACATATAAAACTTCTCAACATAATTAATTAAGAGAAATTTTCTCCTTTGATAGAGATACATATCGGGTTGC